GTCCGACAGCAGATTTCAACCATGCTTATTCAATAGACCAAAGGAAAAGGTCGCTGTGTGGTGGTGTGTGGCTAAGATTACCTGCACTTTCCATACGATACCCGCATCATATTAAACAAACAAATACCATCCAGTCCTTAGATAAGACATTAATAGATACCGTGTGTGCCTATTCTACCACCCCCTTCTCGCTGTTGATATTATTCAATATAAAAATAACATCATCGTTCGATATAAATATAAACACCACGACCATACATGTTATGATCTAAGTCCATGCTTACAAAACTTAAGGTGCAAGGTGTGGTAGTATAGTCTTAGCTTTTAAGATTTTAGGTAGTTTCGATCGGTGTCAGAATGCAAGTACAAATTATATCTATGTCAATTAGCTTCTTAAGGGGTAAGGAAAACTGATTATCCGATGCCATTTCTCATTTAAGAAGTTCAGATAGCTAAGAAGCACCATTCTCTTGTAAGATAACAGTTATGATAAATCTAATGTTTGTGTGTATACACAGTTAAACTGTATTGCTAAAATTTCGCATGTTTAAATCATTCGAAAATTTCGCATTTCTAAATCATTCGACTATTTCGAGATTTTAAAACATTCGAAAATTTCGCATTTTTGAACATTCGTGGCGTCTTGTACGTCAGTGCTGACATGTTAGGCATGACCTGTTCACGTTACCTATCATGGGAAGGTATCTAATGTCAAAATGCCTACATACTGGATATATCATGTAGAGGGAGTATGTAAGTCATTATGATAGATGTGTATCTCCATACCATGTGTACGTCATTAGAAGATGCTCAAGATGATGAGTACCATGTGGTCGGCAGGTAGTAATTGAACAGATCTAGCTATAAAGCCTATAGTGTTGGTAGATAAGATATTATTTACATGGTATTTGGTCTAATTGTTTACAAGAAAGCTAACAGTTATTAATTAAGTGGTTCTTTAGTTTTGTGAATTGTACACCAACAGTAATTTGGACATAAATAGTGCAGTAGCGACATATTTTCTATATCGATGTACGAATATTAAAGACGAAATCTAATGACATTTATGTACATCAATGCAAATCTATTTTGATGCAGATATTACGTATCAATTTGCTATAAATATCTTACGTTATAGAAAAAACAAGAAAGAACACAAACCAACCTATATTTATGCAATACTCAATTCTAATTACTAGTTTGTAAAATAGAATTACAGCATAGCATCTTGTTTTATCTTATTAACTCGACTGTACAGTATATACTGTCTAGCAATTTTATTGATCTTGCTCTAGCTTAAGAAAGAAGAGTTACAAAAAGATGTGAATAAATCGACGAAATATACAGAAAATTAGTAATTAATTTCTCATGATTAAAAGACGTTTTTCTTCTGTTATTTCTGTGTACTTTTGAATCAATGGTTGATGACGTCTTCATTAATTTTTAGAGACAGGCAGTGATGAAATCCTTCATTAGTCTCTTTTTTTTTATTAGTGTAATGCCTGAATTATATTTTCTTTTACAATAAAATTAGCTTTTCATCTGGGCTTTTATTTTGGATATTTTCTCTGATCATCAAATTTCTTATTATCGGTTATCCAAAATATCATCAAAAATACAAATGTAAAGCCATCTCAGTCGGAAACGTTATGGGACACAAATATATACCGGTAATAATTGTCTCCAGTAGACCTTAGATTTTCTGATAATGGAGAATGCATTAAGTAATGTTTCTTGATTCACCAAGTGAGATGTGTGTTTCCTGAAGACAGCCCTAATAATTACAGAACTAGCTGAAAATAATAGAAATCGATTCTCGCTTCTATCCACTGTAATGGGTTCCTCCCTGGCATCACGCTATGTTCCTTGACTTGTCTTTGTCTTATAGAGTAATATCAAAGAGGACAAGATTTGGCTATAAAGATGCTTCTGAAAGAAGAATAGAAGGCTAAAAACGGACACTGTATCATATACAGTACACACATTGACATATGTCATAATTCTTTGTATACAAATGACTAATTTCTTATTTTTGAACGTATTCAATATTGATGGGTTTAAATCACAAATATCGTCATTTATCTCCCTTGAATTTTGGTCTTTACGTCAACATATCGACGTCGCCACTTACCATGTGTAGTGGGAAGAAAAATGGAAGGAAGTCATGAGAACTGATAAGGATTAATGTTATTAGAAGCAATGACATTATTGACTTGTAGACATCCAATCCATTTACATGTCCTATAGTTTATAAAATGTTGGTCCGCTGGAAACATATATCACCGTAGTCATGACATATGGGTAGTCAGAACAGCATTATTCAAATAAGTGATCCATTTTGTAGGCAGATAAAACGATGGTATTAATGAAACTGCTAAGATAGCTGACACGCAGATCAAAGTCTTAATCGTGTTAAACAAAGCGAACGAAGAATCACACCATTCTAAATTTCACGCTTGCTAGACATTCGACAAATAAATCATTTAGTTAGAAGCCTTAAAAGCCATTGTCGAGAAGTCTTTAGACTACATTGCATATTATATGTAAATATATTTGGCTTCGAATCCAATACCTTTTGTCTGATGGCTTGTAAAAGGTATTGTTCTCCCGACGAAAGATCTTATTGACGTTGATTAAACTTGTAAAACGTTATAATCTGTCATGTAAGTTTTATTACCAGCTTAATAAATATATTTAGAAGATGGTTTTGGCTATCCATTCAGATATAGGACCATTACACCACTGTGTGTTAAACATGGTCTTCGAAAATCAGACAACTCTCGCTATTAGATCGTATAAACAGGAAAGCCAGCGATAATTGCATTAAATGTTACATGTATGGTGACGGGCAATGGTGTGTGTAAAGATTAAATCGTCGTTATACAAGAATCACTTAATATTATTAAAGCCCAGCTAAGTGAAGGCACTCTGGAATATTACCAGAACCATCTTATTGCTTTTGGGTGTTTAGACTATTGTGTTTAATGTAGCAAAACTGGCAGTTTGATTTATTCTCGTGTGTTTTGTAATTGACCCGTGTTATAGAGGTGGCTTGTCTATTTTTTAAAAAATATTGTGTACTCAAAGTTTTTTGATTTGTCTGGCTTTCATGTGAAAATTATTAGCCATTTTCCATTATATATTGATCACATGAAGTTCTTGTAGATATTTGCTTGCATTTATTGGAATATTCAGTTTATACAAATATTAACCCCAAGCATTATCCCATTGGAGTAATAATAGCCATTGTATAGTTCTTAACTTTTGATGTTTAGATTTTTAATTGAGAAATCTTGGAGCGACAAAGCAAATCATCTTTCCGCCCCTTGTTCGGTCAGTACCAATCTGATCCACCTATCTCCTCCCACCATAAGAATATCTATATATTTACTCACCTGTTGGGTATCATCAAGGTGCACAATAATACAGGTGTGGTCAGTTAAACATCATAATTCTGTGTTAAGAATACAACATATGGTGCAAGTAAGATAAAGTTTACTCTAATAAGATTTGTAATAGCAGGAGGGTTTTTTGTAGAAATATTTACAATTTCATTGTAGAAGTTTAGCTTGACCATATGTTCCTATCACTTCTTGATTTCATTGGATCTTTCGCTTGTTCAGTGTATTACTCTGGTACAAATTCGAAATAGAAACTTGGAGATGATAAGTCCTTAATTCTTTCGATCCTGATATGAATTTAAAATTACATTTAATGCTGATAAGTATATAATTCTTGGTTATTCATTTAAATAGAAACTTAATGATAATAAGTCCTTAAATATGGCCTTGTATAAATGCCAGTCTTCAAGGAATTTTGACAAAACGCTAAATCTTTACATGATATTTTATTCATAAATGGCTTTTCCATCATGACCCGTGTAAATCTCTTCATTTAATGTAATAAGGTAGTTCTGGCATTCTTCACCAGAAGTTACCTGTCAAACATCAGTTCAGAGAGAATAATCAGTGCCGTGATCATATCATGATAATTGTCGATTTCATCTCCTGACCATATGGTCAATGCTGGAACTGTTGCCCTAAAATACACCCTGTCGACCAAGCAACATATTTGATAAATAAATACTCTCTGCTTTATAATGTGAAATGAACATATGATCTAAGGATGTTGGTGTTCCCTCGTGGATTGATATGGCCTTTTAACTAGTTCCATGTTTATAGGTATATCCATTGTAAAGTTTATATGTTATATTCTAGTATTACCAATTTCTTTGCTTATTGGAAATATGACGGGCATATGTACATTCTTAATCTTAATAGTTTCCAGATTATTATCCCTTACTTAGCACCAACTACCTTCAATTTTTATTCACAACTGAGATTTATCTTCCGTGTTTTCAATAATGAATATGGTAATACAGATTTCTTCTAAGGATAAAAAAATTTGTTCTTCATATTGCGTGTTTGATCTGCATCTCAGAATATATTATTCATAGACAATATTATCTACATGTAAGTTAGATTATAAATTTATGTCATGTTTCCTTTTCCAAAATCTGATTTCGTGTTATATTCAGTCTATAAAATTAACATTTAATGTACAGGAATGTCGAATGAATCACATTTGTGTATTGTACATGGGAATAATAAAAGTTAAATATATTTACATTATAATATCTCTAACAATTTATTGAAACCAAAACACACAACGATAACAAACAATTGCAAAAAATTCACTAACACAAAAACAAAGACACGCCACCCCTTCAATAAAAACCCCCAACCTAACAAACAAAAATACACACACACCAAAATAAGAATAAAACTCACACAAAGCAACATTAGTAACGACGGGCCATGTTTTTGTTACAGTACCACGTTATAACTATTAGTATTGAATACTGAAACCTTATCCATGGACCATGTTTTAAAGAAGCACGTCATAACTATTACTAAAGATTCTTTTACGTTAAAGGTGAGCCGAGTTTAAAGTACTCTGTAATACTATTAGTAATACTTATGTTATTTGTATATTTTCAGGTAATATAAAAGTACATACTGGCGGTAACTCTGGTAATGGTAAGGAAGATAAACCTGCGGCTCATTTAATGGGTGTTAATAGACGACCAGATTTAAATCAACGTAAGTATGAATAATTAATTGATCGCCTGGTCATTTGAATTCCTTAACTGAACATCCTCGAACTGCTTAGTCATGAGTATGCCATCTATACAATGAACATTTTGACAAGAGTTACTGTTATATTTATATATTATTTTCCGTATGTCGTAATCCAAACGCCCGTCAAACCAGTTGTTGATAAGATATAGTTGGATTCAATGCTTACAATTTCTTTTCTTTTTGTTTTGCAGCACCAGGAAGCCAGTTCTCAATCTCCAACTGGATTTATAATCAAGATTTGGCTTTTGCGAAAAAAGTCACCTATCGACATGGTCGAATTGTTGTTCCGGTACCTGGTTTATACTACGTTTACAGTCAGATATCTTTCTTGGAGCTGTTCATGAACCGTGATTCTGGAAACGGTGCTAGTACGGAATCCCCCAGTCTCTCCCATTATCTATATCGCTATAACATAATTTACCCTAATGGCGGCGAAGAGAAAATGATCCAGAACTCTATTACCAAGTGCTGGGGACAAAACAAAGGTTTCGGTGAATATACAAGTTACCTTGGCGCCGTTTTTGATTTAAGACAGGGAGATGAAATATTCGTGAAAGTTTCCAATTTAACAATGGTCGTGAAAGATCCTAAATCCAACTATTTTGGTTTGTTCAAGCTATGAGATTTGTAGAGGGGTTTAAAACTACCTAAACTGTGTCTTTCAAACTGCTTTCAAATTGTGTTAAAATGAAAATAGAAATAATAATGCGGTAGACCAATCGTAGCGGAAAGAATTATTTACTGCTGTTTGGTGCTTCCGCTTCGATGGTTGGCTGCCATACTGCGGATACTTCAAAGAGGTATTTCATATAGTAGGTAGGCGCTGTTCCAGATATGGATACCATCCGGAAAGATAGTTTCCAACTACAGAAGATACCATAAGTAAATGATCAGAACCGTCCAATATAGGAGATGGTCTCGGCATTCTTTTATAAATAAATGCTCATTTTAATTGGTCATAATATCTAAAATTGATGACGTACTACACAGAAGCTTGTATATTAATATTTCTTCACTTTGCCATGGATTTTATAAATTTCTGTATACATTGCGGTAATTAAAAGTATATCGTTTTTTTTAAAAATAAAATCAAGTCCCCGCATTTCCCAACGCAATACAACATATAATGACCTATTCAAATAATTAGATTTAGTATCTGGATTAGCTTAATAGGAAACGGACAAAAGTGGAATTGTTTCATATATTCACGTCCCAAAATTCAGCTAATATTTGCAATGTGACAGGTTTTTTTTGTCAACTGTCGGTATTTTAGATAGAACCTGTCCCATCTCCTGTCCATGGGATCCACTTATTAGACTACTTTATTTAGGCAAAAATGAAAGCGATCTTAAAACTACCTATTCACTAGGTTTAGGTAAAAATATTATGCTACTCACATATCAACAATATAGTGGATTTTCTTATTCTGCCCAAATAAGTATATCACTAACTAGTTGAAATTTAAATAACTAACTGACGAATGTACCAGTGTAGACTATATTCTATGTTTTTTCAATCATTTAAACAATATTATATATACAATATATATTAACACTTTAACAAAACGAGAAAACATAGCATAAATAAATGTTTTTAAAATCATGGTTTAAATTCTACAAGAATCTAACTTGTTATAAATGTTCTAAGTTTGTCATATTCAGGGGATTTAATTTCGAATTTGACTTCATTATTTTCAATCATGTTTTTTGCGTTCAGAGATTAAAACTCATGTTTAAATAGAACGGCCCGATACGTTTTACAATGTTTAGTCTGTACACTTTCTAAAGCCATGTTTATACGGCGACTTTGTTTGTATTTTTTAATGTGTCATTTTGCATATAAAACCAAGAATCGCCGTGCAAACACAGCTTAACTTTACTGAAGAAATTCAGTTATGTGCGTTCTTTTGGGCATTTAAGGAGGGTAATTTACAGACACTACGTGAATAACGTGATAATTGTTTATAGGAATACTAATAATGTGCCGGGAACGAGGATTCTTACAAGATTTATACATATTGTATACTAAATCATGGACATTTATTTACATTTGTACGGATGGAAATACATGTTTTAATTCCATGTATGAATGTTTTATTTTCCACCATGAAAATAATAAAAACTCATGATGAGTCATGTATTGCCAAATCATGAAAAATAGTTTTTTTCATTTTAATTCATAATAATCATTCGTTATTTCATAATAAATAAAAACATAGCGAGCATACATTTGTGATATATTCATCATTGTTTTAGGAAAACAAAATTGATAAAAAAAAAGTTACTGAAAACATTTTATCGTTATCTATTTTAAATTGTTCATAATCATGATGATTTCATTATTTCGTTGCATGCGAATTCAAATTAATGCAGTTGTAAATATAAACGTTGATAATCTTATATGTGTTATGTTTTTTGAAAGTGATTGTTTGTAATAAAAATATGAGTATATGTAATATTATAAGGAGTATAATTATTATTATATATTCTATTGAAATGTTAAATATATATTGAGATGTTTTATTTGTATTTATTATTCTGACGTTAACGTTTCGTTTAAATTTTCAAAATAGTATTTGAACTAAAGGTTTGATTTGATAACTTCAATACTTGTCCGAGTTGTAGAAAATTAATAGGCATTACTGAATATTTAAGCTGCATTTAAATTTAGATACATAATACTTTTATAACTTTTATAAAGTTTATAATAAGAAAGTTTTGGATTTTTTTCTTAGGGTTGTTTTTTTGTTTAGTTTTTCTTCGATATAGATGTAGTCGCGAAGCTGAATAATTAGTGTTCATTCAATACAAATTAATGTGTTTTATATTAATTAAAAAATGTTCAAGTTATATATAATAATTCCTTCATCCATCTGTTATATGTTTGCTTTGATATATGTGTGCTGATTGGACAATTAACAAGGTTTTTTGTATAAGAAGGTACTATGTGTATCCATGGTGATTGTATTATGTTAATCATTGTTACGTAATAAACCATGCCTATTTTTACTATCAATCTATCGGATATTTTTATCTTTTTAATTTCACAGGGAAGGGGAGGTAATTAGGGGACACAGAGACGCATACCCGAAGGGTGAAAGACCACACTTAATATTGTGACAATTGCCTTCAGTGCTGTTTGGCGTACATTTTCAGCTTTGATTGATAGGATTCGAATGACATATACGTGTCTCTCAAAGGTTGTGATAATTAGGCATTTTTATGTAATATTCGGATGTTCTTTATACGGAAATAATGCAGAGAATTTACAATCTTACTTGAACTGAAACAAGAACTAACAACTGAAAAAAACACGTTCTGGTGACATAATACGTGGGACGATTTCTTTTTTCCCCAAACATGAAAAGACAATAGGTTCAATGAGCATTATGAACATAATTATAACAGGAATAATTCCAGCCTATTACAGCATCAAAAGAAGATTCGCAGACAAAACATGATAATTATAAGCATTATCCCTGAAGACTTGTCCTTACTTCTACAGATCATGAATAGATACAGAACACGACATTAAAACATAATATAACTTCAAAGAGCTGTATTAATCATTGTCATATATTTGACGCTTGAAGACAAAAGGCTATAATATTAGTTTGTTGTACACGATACCCTAGTCCCTAATTGCCAGAGAGATGCCACGATTTTATTTGCAATTATGATTCTCTAACCTAGACAAAATGTTAATCCAATCCTTTCTTAAAAGAATATATTTGTTTTGAAATAAATGATAATCGCGAAGAAAACCAATTCTTTAGCTGAAAGGGTGGACTATAGATGAGTGCCATGGAACCAACGAAATATCATTGGGAAACAAGATGGGTTTGACAGAAAACGAAAATGACACGGTGTAAGTCTCTTAAATTGCTAGGGAGGTGGGGATGGTAAACAAAGTAGGAAGAAAAGTGGGTGGGGGCATGGAAAAACACAATCTTAGCAATGATTAGATCCTGGGAATGTATAACATAATATACAGTTATGGGTAATCTTGTGAATGGGAGGGATTCGAAATGAATGTGAAAATTGTAATGTATTAAAGAATGGGAGTTACTCAAAACAAACACGATACTACAATGGACCAGGAATTGCTACGTCATTGTCCAAAGAAGAAACGTGACAAGTTTCTTGCTGAACGTACTTGTTGAATTGGTGGAACCTTAAAGATACATTGTCCCAGAAGTATTTGTCGGGTGGTTATTTCCAATAAAAGTATGGCAAATTTGGTATATATCGAAAGAATAGACGCCCAATCTTACTAGAAAAATACTGGATTACCTGAAAACACCCACGGAGCAAGCATTGGGCAAAAATTAACCGGCAGAAAAACGGCAGACTGCAATTAAACGGCAGAAAAAGAAGTTGAAAGACAATAATTAAGAACTTACTTAGGCCTCAGTATGTATAGTAAACATTAAGTATATAATGAATAATACATTCTGAAAAATAGGCCCTCCCTCAATGAAGTTAGGTGACAAACATGACTTCTAACAACAGCTTATTAATAGCCTGAGGTATCTCCCCGCGATTATAAGGTATTGAGAGAGGTTTGAAGCAAATTTTTGATAGATTGATTAGTTTGAATATGTCCAAATATATCATCAAATCACACAGTTTGTGCGCGGAAAAGTATCTTTAACCATCGAAGAACAACAACTAGATGGGTAAAGCTTGGGAAAAAAGGGTGTATTCAAGGGAAAAAATTGCTGATAGATTAGAATAACAAACGGTTACAATTACGTTTGTAAGCAATCGGGGGTGACAAAGATACAAGTCTTCGTATATCTGCGTATGGTTAGTCTTTTTCAATTTCAGTGTCCTCTTATCCCCATCATGGCCCATGATCATATTTATCACTTGTCAACGAGAACCATATACCAAGAAACTAATGGTACACTTTTAAAACGTACCTGACGGAAACCGTAATATAATACCTGATAATGTATAAATCTGGTAAATATTTTCAAATCAGTGACCTCCCTAAATGACCGCGTGTCAACTCCAAAACAAATATTGGTTAATAGCTCCGTCGTTTTGAGGAAGGAAAATCTGTTATCAATTTACCCCCAAAAAATCATAATAGATCACTTAGCTAGTTAATGTTGGACTTACAAGAACGATACGTATGTAATCTGTTTATTGTTTGTAAAATCGTACCCTGTTACACCATACACCACACGGTCAGGTGTTGTATTCTTTGACTTGCCTTTGTTCCTTCATTTCATATTTTGTTTAACATTCCATATGATATATTTTGGCCGATTTATTATAAACAAAGACAAATGCCATAGCATGTTTAACAAACCTCTAGTATATATATTATTACCTATAAAAACAAACAGTAACTTTAGTTGTGTCATCATTTACTTTATTCAAATTACAGGCATTATCACAACAACTGCTGTAAAAATATGTCTGATTTTAGTGCGTGATTTTGGTCAATTCCAAAAGCATAAGACTAAACAAATTCATTTTAAATCAACAAAACTTCATAGACCATTATACCGGAATAGTGTCCTATAACTAATGGCTTGATTTACTTTTACATTTTAGATTTCATATGCTGTATTCATAAACCATTTGTTCAGTAGTTAATTGATCTTCTGTAGTTCCCTAGAAAGCATAAGTCGGGGTAACAGGCACCGTGCTAGACAATCATGTACATGTCTCTACCGGCAGATATACAACCTAAGAGATCTAAACATTATAACAGTTAACTACATATTATCCCCTTTCCAGTATTGGACCAGTAATCCTCTCCCCCATTCCTTGGTCTATAAATATTTCTTTTAAACATTTCGATGATGATAATCTTGATAACTACAAAAAGCCCAATCTGCCACAATCACCTGTCCCGTGTTGGCAAATTTCTTAATAGAGAGTTGTCTGCGATATCATCCTAGGTGGAAGCGGACGCCCCCACCCTCCCCGACAATCATCTGATTTAAATATTGAAGGGCGTTAACCATCTAGATTAGGAAGCCGTTGTGACTCAGTAAGACATTGGCTCATTACCATGTAAATTCAAAAACTCTAAACCAAAAAGTGCCATGCAAAAAGAAGTGGGGTGGGTGAGAAGAGAGGAAAATAAAAAGGGAATTGTTGTATATAGACGCTCTGCATTCACCAGGGGAAGTAATTACATAGTCTTAATCCATTTAAGGATTTGCTATTTGTAATCATCGAAATATTTTGAAATGAAATGAAATGAAATGGAGTTTAACGTCCTACTGTTCTGCTCCTAACCTGGGCTAATGAAGACGGGCATACGCCATACAGTGTGCTATGAGGGAAATTTTGCCCGGACAGCGGCACTACGGCCTACTCTTATATCGAATTCCAACTGCCAAGGGATCTTTTACGTGGACGCCAATGTGTACACGGGACCTCGGTTTTTCGTCCCATCCGAACGACTAGACAGCTTTCCTTGTCAGCCCCTCCGTCCTGCATCACTGACAAGGGAGAACCACGCCGGAAAATCTGGATGAACTTTCTCGGCCAATGCAGAAATATTTTGAAGTGTACCAAAATTGCAAAGCTCTCTGTACAAACTGATTCAAGAAAAATGACATTTGCTGTATATCACCGAGTACTGAGAATTTTTTCACCATTTAATGTTTTTTAGCGTTGCATTTCTATAAATTGCAAAACTGTATGGCAGTAAGCTATAAACTCCAGGTGTTTCATATTTATTTGATAGCTATACTTGACATGGTATGTATCCACTTGATATAAGTACAGACATAACCTTCCCAACAATCATGGCTGCCTTCTTTATGAGTACTTTCGGTGACTACTGACCGCGATTTGGCAAACGATTTACCAGATTAAATAAATTGTTACAGTATGGGTGTATAAAAGAAGGGAGTAGATGCCGTCTGAATTTCCCGTTTTACCAGATTAAATAAATAATTCAGGGAGCAAAAAGTTATACGCTTACTAAATTACATTGGTTGTTGCAGCCTGGGTGTATACAAGAGATTCCGATATCCGTCTAAAGTTTTCGTTCATCCTACTACCTAGACGGCCCTTGCAACCCCTCCCGGTATATGTTTCGGTCACCTGAAGAAAATGATTAATTAGGTAACATTAAACAGATAATTTATTTAACTAATTATCCACACTTAATGTGAAAGATGATATTTTTGTTTTATGGATGGGGTCGGGTCGGGGTATTATTAATTTTATCCATATTCATTCTAAATATTACCATAACTTACCTACTAGGATATTATACCTCCAAAGACCATTTATAATTTTGTTTCACATCAACTAGTACATAAATGGGGTATTTGATTTTAAATTTCCTTTGAACAACTGAAGCTGATAGACAAGAATCAACTGTAAGTCCCCCATGTCATAACCCTGTTTCCATCCCAATGTCTTGTACATACTGCCCCATACTGTCCCAAAGGACTACGGCGAAGCATAAAATTAAATCATAAAAACTGCTTTGTTATAAGGTGGCATTAAATTTGATATTATACATGTATTAACTGATTGCAAACTCGGGTTCAACTAATTTTAAAATATATTATTTCCCTGGATTATTGAGCTTGAAATTAATACTGTAATATTAACTGACATATTATAATTTCACATTATTTTTATTTCACTATTTTATGCCAACGCAGTATCTTGCTCAGTTTGATCAATCACGTATAAAACAACAACACAGTGAATGCACTGAAAACGGCCATGTATTAAAGATACATTATGGGAGATTAGTGCCGGCAGTTCTCACTATAATAGTTAAAAACTAGATAATGTAAATAGAATTTGCTGAAAATTTCAGTCAAATTGATCCACTCTGAACCGAGAATTTAGCGATTGAATTTTGGGCTTAGTCTCGATCATCATTACAAAAGTAGGTACGATAAAATACATAGTCTCGATCATCTATTTCTTCTTTTAAGCATGAAGGAGCGTAGAGCAGCAGATCGGATCCTAATCCAGTACATATCGCAGGCTGGCGATGACATCGAGAGTTGATTATGGTCT